GATTTTCTTCAAAAGATTTATTCACAAAGGGTTTTGATAAACGGCAGTTTTACAATTTCTATCTTTTGAAAACCCTACTTTACATACATAAGTTTATGTATATAAAGAAGTGTTCATAATTGAAATAACTTGTGAGTTTATGCATGAAAATTCTAAAGAATGCTTAAGAGTAAGGTTGCCAAGTCTAAACTTTGTCATATTAGTTTCGGATTTCACGTGTAACTTTCAAGTCACATATTAGAGTCAAGAGTTTGTATTGTTTTGGTATTGGGTGAGTAATTAGCATGTTGCACACAGTTTGTAGGCTTCAATGTTGAAGCTGAGTTGAGAGTGCTCTGGGAATGCTGAGTGAATCTAAGTCTAGGACTTAGGTTGGGTAAAATAGGGTTTTACTGTATATCAAGTTCAGTCTGGAACTTGTGAGAAAGGTCTGATTGTAATAGGTTGTAACTAGGAGTGTTTGGCCTATTATAGTGGATTGGTTTGGTGTTTGAAATCCCTTGAACGGTCGAGATTTTACTTCAATTTCAGTTAGGCCTTGGAAGGTTTCCTCGTAAAATTCTGTGTGCATTGCAAGTTCCTTTAATATTCTGTTTTATAATTCCGCAAAAAGTAGTCACTAGGAACTCACTACAATTCATCCCCCTCTCTTGTAGAATTTCATCTCAACTAACACATGTAGAATTGTTTATGTCACGACCGACCTTTTCAGGCTAGACTTTGGCTGTAAAACACTTCCCGCGCTGTTCAAACCCAAACTTTTATCGAGTTAGGCCATTAATGATCATCGCTTGCAAAACGGTAAGTACCATTGGTAAAGCGTAAGGAGGTAGTAAAAAAAAAAAGGGCTATGTTGTGAAAATGTTGGGCTTTAAGTGAAGAAACAGAGAGAAGGTTAATTGCTTAAGTAGTTGACGTACCACAAGATCTTGAGCTAGATATACACTAATGACATTTGTCTAAGATAGTGTTTAGACTATCACGTAAGCTATATCTTGCATTGTTAGGCATAACACAACCCCAATCATATCAAATAGTAGAATTAAAATAAAATACTAACCAAAATAATTAAAAATGTAAGCTCTTAATATGAAAATTAGCCAAACAATTAAGTGATATAGAGTATAAAATATAAATTTCTACTACGAACACGACAAGTAGGTAGAACAGTCAAGTCGTTCAACCAAAAATTTCTAGAATTAAGTAAAATATCTATTTCCTCAATTCTAACAAGGTAGCAAATAAGAGATTCTGTCAACCTTTTACAATTTTTTTTTAACTAATGTAATAACTTCTTAATTAATTGGGTCAAAGCATTCAAATTTTGTTTATTTGATTTTACTATAGTTTAATCTAGTTCATGACGCATGATTGTATAAATAATACACTTTTAATTATGCACCCAAAAAACCACATAAACCAAGTAAGAACTCAACAAATTATGCAAGAAAGTTAAATTAATAAAAAAAAAATACATATTTACCTACCAAATAAGAAATACAAGTGTAAAAAAATTACTATTAATTCAGGGCATGTGATAATGTTGATTACTTGCTAAGCAACCCATATACTATACCATGCACGGAGTAGCTAGCTTTTGTGAAGTTGATGTTAGGCAACCAGCCAACCATGGTCTATGTTTTTATTTTATTTTTATAGAATAATATAATATATTTTCATGAACTTTTTATGGGTTTGTAGTAACGAGTTTCTTCGAGAACCGCTAATGTCTAATGCAATAGTGCTAGAAACCAAGATTCATTAATTTGAAAGCTAGCTAGCTAACTACTCTATACCAACCAAAATATATATTATTGAGTAATTTGTATACATATATTCTTTCTTTGGTTCATACGTTATAACTTTTAGTCAACTTGTTTGAAACACAATCTAATAAACAAGAGATTGATAGAGGATAACTGAATATATTGGTCTAAGTTAATGAGATATGTTGATATTACATAGGGGTGATAATGAAACCTAACATCTCTCAAGGTTCATCGATATAATTGAACATATTCACAAGCTACTCGAGGGCCAAATAAACTAAATAAACCTTACTATCAACATCAGCGCATCTTATGCTCGACTTTACCCTTGTCGTGGCCACCAATCACCACTATTTTGCGTCCATTATAGGTTCTATAACTATTGTATGTCTTGTGTCAAAAGTTTACCAGTTAATTTGAATGTGATAGTGCCTCCTTTAACAATGTTTTTACATATTCTATAATTGAGTGATAACATAATTACAATTAAGATAATTATTTTTTGTTATAACCTTTAATAGTTCAAATTACAATCAGTAAGAAAAATAGAGACTTACAAAAACTCGGCTCAGAAAAAAAGGTAGTTAATTATTAAAGTTATTCAATATATATATATATATATATATATATATATATATATATATATATATATATATATATAATATATATATATATATATATATATATATATATATATATATAAGGTAATAAAAACCTAATTTATGAATAAAAGTAAAAACCAAACACAAAATACAAGAGGGAATATTGAGAAAAAGATGTTGAAAAAGGTAATGAGTGCATGAAATAGTGACCATAGAAGCAAAACCTTGCTTTCATTCCATATAATAATTAGCATCAATTAATTATGTTCACTTTTTTCCCTTCTTTATAAATTCACTTTTAGGTAAAGGATAGCTTACCCATATAAACCCATCCTTGTTTAATGCCCATAACTTTTATGATATTTTCATGTTTGCGTGCTACAACGCTAGTGTTTTAAATTAAATATAACCAATTATTATAATAAAGAATTAATTATAATAATATTAATGTTTATTGGCATTAGATACATTGGGCCCTTGTAAATACCACAGAAATGAGTAATCGTAATACATCCTTTTCGTAGTTTTCTTGCTTTCACACTCCACTCACTAGTTCGCCAACCAACCCCCCATCCTCCCCTCCTTTCTTTCTCTCTCCTTGGTTGAGTTTGACTCCTTCACCCCCATTAGCCAACTGCTGCTTATTCTTCCTCACCTCACTTTTTTTTTTTTGAATTTTATTATTATTGTGTTTTTCATTTTTTTTTAATATTTAAAAGTATACTCCTAATATAGACATTACTGTGACGTGAAGTTGGTACGGATTGTAAAGGTCACGCACCAGCTAGGCTTATAAAAGTTGCAGTTCTTAAAGGTAGTGACTCCTTTATCCTTTCTCTTAACTACGTGAACATACAAGATATACTAATAGGCTAATAGAGTCATCCTCCATTGTCCACACCATACTTTCGAATTAAAAAAATACAGATTTTTCACCATATACCACTGATTTTAACGTTAATTCACCATATATCACCAAAAAATTTCTACTTTACCATATAACCTTCAGTTTTATTAAAATGTCACAACATGCCATTAATGACTAACGGACATTAACACCGTTAGTCATTAAGGCTAATAATGTCATGTGGCATCGTATAATTGGTTGCCTTTTAAATTATTTAACTTTAAAATAATTATTTAATTAATTATCAAAAAATTAAAAAAATAAAATAAAAATAAAGCCCAGCCACCCACGTCCCCCCAGACAACCACCACGCCAGCGCAGAAGCCGACCAGAACACCGGTACCGATGCGGAATCCGACCAAAACCCTCACGCCGGTGCGAAATCTGACCACAACCCCCGGCAACGGTCCTCCCCTTCCCTTGGACAATCGTGTTCGACCCCCATATCTCTCGAAAAACCCTCCCCTAACCACTGGTCGGTGCCCAAACCCCTATCTCCCACGTCGGCGAACCCAATTCGCCCCTGCGGTGCCATCTCCACCCCACAAACCACCACGTACGCTGAAACCCTAAACCAAAATCTAGGGTTTCAATTTCGGTGTTTTAGGGTTTTACAGTGGTGGTTTTTGGCAAGTTGGGCAGCGGCGACGTGTGTGTGAAGGCTTGGGCTCCGGCGAAGGGATTTCAGGGTGGTGGCTGGGTTTTAGGTAGGAGTGGGGAATTGGGCTAAGGTGGTGGTTGGGGAATTTGGCTAAGGTGGTGGTTGTGCTAAGGTGGTGGTTGGGGTCGGGGTTGTCGCTGACGAGGGAGGGTGATGGTCGCCAACCAGCCGGGAAGTGGACCAGGCGCCAGCCAGTTGAGGGTGGGGGTCGGGGTTGGGCTGGGGGCGACGGTGGCTAAGTTGGTGGTGTTTTATTTTATTTTTTTTAAAGTTAGTTAATTAAATAAATAATATTAATAATCACCAATTACAAGCTGTCACATGACACAATTAACATTAATGACTAACTAAGTTAACGGAAATGAAATGTTGTGACATTTTCATAAAACTGAAAGTTATATGGTAAATTAGAAAACTTTTAGTAGTATATGGTGAATTAACGTTAAACTCAATAGTATATGGTGAAAAATCCGAAAAAAAATATATAATCGAAAAAAAAAAGAGAGAGAGAGAGAGAGAAACACAAAGCCCACCTATCCCCTTCAATCCCTAAAAGGATCTTCTTCCCAAGTTCAAACGTAAGCTACTTCCATTTTTCTTCTCTTTTTTTCAATTTTTCTACAATTTTTTTTCCTCTTTAACAAAAAGTTCCTCATTAAATATCACCTTTCCTCTTTTTCTCTCTCCTTTTCTTCTCCTCTCCCCAAAAAATAATAAACCCTAATCATTCCTCTCATCAGAACATAGAGCTGGTAGCTCAGCTACATAGAGTGCTCAAAAATCTCAAAAATCCCCTTTTTTTTTTCTTCTTCTTTTTCATTCTTCTTCCTTTTTAATTAGCTATTGCACTGCACTATTTCTAAAAACAGTAATTTAATCTTTTTTTCTAGATCATATAACACCCCTTTTCTGAAATGTAAGAAGAGAAAAAGTAAAGACAAGAGATCATAAACCTTATTGCATATCCAATCTTTTTAGATTTTGTGTTGGGCCTCCAAAATCTTCCGTATCTTCTTCTTCTCTAGATCGATCTTGCTCCTAACTTTCTCCCCGCCTCCATCATGGAATCGGGGAATAGTAGTAGCATGCAATCATCGAGTGGTGGCGATGATCAAGAATATGAATCCGGCGGAGTAGTATCAGCAACAACGGGAGGTAATTACTTCTTGAGTAATACTAGTAGTACTAACAACACCCTACCTTCATCATCTCATTTTAGCAATAGTCACAATCATTCTATGTTTATGTTATCTGCCAACAATCAAATACCACCTCCGCCGCCACCACTACCGCCCTCTTCAGCACATGTTAGTTACTTAGACTCTTTTGATACCCAAACTAATTATCAGAACTTGATGTTCGGATGGTCTGCTAATAACCAATTCTCTACCAGTAACAACTTGTCCGATCCTAACCCACATCCACCTCCACCTCCTCCTTCGATGCCGAATCAAAGTTGCACCACTACCCCTAATACCACCCACCTTCCACCTCCAAGATCGGTACCCTCACAAACTATGTCAGCACATCAACAAACCGCCACTGCTGGTGCTAGTAGTGGTAGCACCAGCAGTGGTAAGAACCCGAGGAAGCGAACTCGAGCGTCAAGAAGAGCGCCTACGACGGTACTTACCACGGATACGACTAATTTCCGAGCTATGGTTCAAGAGTTCACTGGCATTCCATCATCTCCATTCTCAGCAGCTGCATCACCTCTTATATCTAGAAGACTCACCGATCTTCTATCCGGGTCAAGTTCAAGTTCGGGCGGACCTAGGTCGGGTCTACCACATCCGATGTCGGGTCACAACCCGAGTTCACTAGAACGTCTCCTTGCTGGTTACAACAACAACAACAACAACAATTACCCATTCAGACCCTTACCTCAAAAACCAAATACTAATACAAATATAAATAGTACAATATCCAACAATTCAACTAATAATCATAACTCGTCATTTCAATCTCTACTGCAATCAGCCTCAGCCTCAGCAGCAGCAGCTAACCCTCCACCACCACCACCACCCGTTATGTTCCCAGACCTTGGTGGGGTGCTAGGGAATCATGATCAAACCATGTTCGGGTTCGTGCCGATGCGATTACCATCGGACACTACGGGTGGGGGTGGTGGTGGTGGTGGTTGGAGAGGTGGAGGAGAACAACCACAACCACAACAACAACAAAGAGATGATGATGGGAATATGAGAGGTGCAATGAGTCAGCAACACCAAACCACGGGTGCTGAAAAGAGTAATAATAATAATGTTAGTAATCAGCAAATGGGGGGGTCAATTAGTGGGGGTGGGACTTCCAATTATAATGTGAATATCAATTGTTCAAGAGATAAAGCCTTAGACAATTCTACCCAAGGTACGTTGGGTGATTTTCTTGGTTAATTTTTTTCAATTTTCTACTTAGTTTTTTTTTTTTAATTATATTACATTGTTGATTATATACCAAATTTTATATAGATTAGGACCGAATTATATAGTCCTAGGAATGAATACAAGAAATGGAGAATTTTGGGCTGAAAAAAAAAGGAGGGTGGATTAGATAATTGATTAGGTTTGTTATTGTTATAATAATAGCTGTAATCATAGTCCTAGATCAGACAATCTAAGGTTGAATATCAACCACGCACATTATTATAATTATTACTACCTCCGTTTCATATTATTTGCAACGATTTGACATAAATTAGAGAGGAAAAATGTCTAATCGTTGCAAATAATATGTAACGGAGGCAATATATCATTTTTTTCCTCTCTTTTTTAATTATTATTTATATCTTATTATGCTAATCAAAGCTGAAAATATTATATGCACATTTGAATGGTACTTTTTGTTCATAATTTTGGATCAATTTGATTTCATTGCATAAATCATTATTACAATTGATGACTTCAATTACGCGTCCAATAGAAACTGTTTTTAGTACTAGTATAAGAACTAAAGTTAAGGTTAAATGAATCTATTTCTCCTTATCTTTCTTTACAACCAATTTGAGAGTTGTTGTAATTGCCATTAAAAATAAAGAATAAAGTCTGTTCATAATTATTTAGTACAACGAGTATGTATTACTAATGAATGTGACGACTGAATCCAAACAAAAGGTTTTATGTCATTGAATGGAAAAGTTAGCAAGAAAATTAAGTGTAGTCATTGAATTAAGTCGGTGATTTTATGGCACTAAAAAATGAATTAGTGCATTCAATTTGTTCCTTTGTAGTTGCTTTGAAAGTTCCTTCTCTGAGTTTTTTTGCTCCTTATATATTTATAATATACTGTAATATGATTTGTCGTTTTGAAAATCCATTTAAATTAATTAGGCAGTAGTACTGCGTTATAGTGCGGATCAAATCCAATGTGAAATAGTAAAAGTCCATGATTAAGGAGGCAAAAAAATAATGTAAAATGCATGGGAAACATTAATATAGTATAGTTGGCTTTTGTACTAATTTTACAACATTATTTTCATTTGTTATCTATTTCCACCATAATTATTGTGTGCTCATATGCATTGCACCATTTTTTTTCATTTGCATGGTTGTCTTACCACTAAAATGATTATCACACTTTTTTATAATAAGTTATTAAAAATACCCAAAACGTGCTGAAAGGTGTGTATAAAAAATATTTTCTAAATTCAAGTCCTTTTTTGGGTATCTTGAAAAAGTTTGTTTTTTTTTGTTATTTATTTATTTATTTATTAACATTTGTTGAATAAATTATATTGTGAAATGTGAATTATGAGGTTATATTATATGTACAATAATGATAAATAGAGTGTGTAATAATATATAGTCATCATAATTTATTTTATTTTTATGAGAGCATATAAACATTTATTCCTCAATTATTGTGTGTAAAAGAGGAGGAATTATTTCACAAATGAATGCCCATGAATGTAAAGACTTGAAAAAATCATACGAAGTATAAATGAAAAATTGTTCTGCAATTGATCAAATTGATCTAGAGAGAGCCTGTAAGTTTTGAAGTGATCTTCGCATTAAACAAGTACATAGTAATTTTTGTGCGAGATAGGTGTATGGTGAGACGTGGGTGATTTCTTATAGGGAATGGGGGTGACTTTATTGAAAATTTTTAGTTCCTTCTATACCATATCATCATATGAGAACTAAAATTTGCCTTCTATATTTCTTTTCTAATCACACCTTTTATATTACTCTTTATTTTTCTATTTTGTTTAGGTAATAGATAGATATTCAACCTAGACTTTTGTGAAAGTTTGAAAAGTATATGAGTGTGTCTTCTTGAATCGTGTGGTTATATTACGGCTTTATTTGGAATTTATTAGTTGTTCACTGGATCACTTGTTCATTTTGCTTATTTCATTTGACCAGCTAGCTAGTATTACTAATTCATTGGTTGTAATAGTTTGCATTACTTGTATTTAGTGAGCTTATCAAATTTTGGTGCAAACTACAGAGTAACAACCTTTGGATAAAAACAACTAATGGTGTTCAAGTTTGTTTTTTCTTTTTCAATGAAAAAGCTGGCTTTAAGCCAATGGATTAACTATTTACCACATGTTTGATCAGAGTTAAGCTACATGGAAGGCCAAATTTCAGTTAACATAAACTTAGCAAATTAAAGTCATTTAAAACGAGGTTTAATAATTCTTGTAAAAGTCGTATATCAATTAATCACCTTGCAAGAATATAGTAAATCTCAATAATTACATGAAAATTTTACAATACTTCTTATGTTCAACTAAACGACCAATGCCTATATATCAAGTACAGACTCGTGGATATAGATTCTCTAATCCAAATGTAGAAAGATATATGAAGCACAACATACCTGATATGATAACACAAACAACATCCATAATTCTTTTAGAGCAGTGAATTAAAATCCATCAAAGTAGATAGATAGCTGTCAATATAGTAGCAGGTGAGATGATTGACTATAAAGAATAAGATGGGTATGTAATGTAAAGTCTAATTGGCTCGATCCAAGCACATGTTTTGGTCTGCAACTTCTCTACAGATGACTGCCAGTTACCCTAGCAAAGATGCCAACAAAAATATAATGTTATGTTATTATTCATCTGTATTTCTATCAGTACTATATCCCCGGATTTTCTTATTTTGCTTTTGACTTGCTTCTTTTGTTTAACTTTTTGTTTGACCATTTTAATGTAATTGGAATTTTTGTGTATTTTTGGAAATTTTTATTTGTACCTTTACAAATGTTTGGAGCATTCTTAAATAATGCTACAAAAATGGAGCAAAACATATTAAAGGAGCTAGTACAAAACTACAAATGGATAATTCTATAAGTGCAAATATTTATGATAATTAAAGAAATTGTATGAATTAATTGTTTCCATTCAAGTTCTGCATTTTTGTAATCTTAGTTATTGTGAGAGCACACATAATTGGATTTTGTGTGTTTATGTTGTAAGCATGTCCAAATGTATAACTCAAATGAGGTTTTATTTCAAAGAAGTACACTTGGTTGTATATATAGAGTAATCCATCATTTGTCAAATTTAGGTTAAATCAATAACTCGTTTTAATGCATGGTTAGGGTTCGAATATACTAGTATATTATGAGAAGAGGGGTGAGCGTAATTATATAAGAAATAGTTGCATGGACAAATATAAATACAAGGCTTTCACGAATTTAATGAATATTGAATCTAAATTGAGTAATGGACGCATTAACTTGTAATAAAAAATTGTAAAATAAAATACACCCATATACGAGTATTATATTGAGTCTGTATGTTGTTAAAATTGAACTAATAAAAATGAGTTTAATTACATATCATACAAAAAAGAAAGAGATTAATTAAAAACGATGCATGAGTCATCATGACTTCATTAGTGTGCTAATTAAGAGCTATGGGCTACTATAACTAACGTGTATAAGCCTTTAACTATTGCAAAGTTCCTCCCTTTTTTTTTCTTTTTTGACAAGATGAAAAGTTCCTAGCTAGCTAATTAAGCAATAAGAACACAATTATCAATAGTCATGATTAATCAATCTAGATATTGATCCTAATTATTATTGTCAAAACTAGAATGATTAGTCGGCATGTGTTCGAAATTCTACACAATGCACTCATCAAACTGCAGCAAGATTTGACTGCCAAGGTATGGTGTTAACTGGAATAAAAAGAAAAGTATTTCTACGGGTTTACAATAATTATTCAATTAATTACTCGCTATGGGACGTTTTTGAAAAAAAAAATTAATGTAAGCTTGGGGAAAAGTTTTATTTAGATAAGGCGAACGACTTAACTAATATTTCAATTGTTACAGATTTTTTTGTCTAGTACTTATGAACTTGTATTTGAAAGTTAGGGGAGAGGCCAGGTAAGGGGATTCTCACCTTCAAGTATTCTCAATTGGTATTAGTAGAGGTGTCAATTTGGATGATTGGAGCGGGTCTTATGAGATCAGGTCGGATCGGGATAATTTTTAAAGTTGAGTCATGCTAAATTATTATGTCCACGTAAGTCCAAATCTGAATCAGATATTTTTCGGATCGGGTCGGGTTAGGTCGGGTGTGCTGTTGACACCTCTACCTACACCTTCAAGATCTAAAATAATATTCTTATCAAGTGAGACATGCATGATTTTCCTTGGCACTCTAGAATAATTTTGAGGATAATTTTCCTTTATTTTTAGTGATTTTCCTTTAATTAATTCTTGTTTATTTGAAATTTCTTTAATTATCTTGAGTGAATAATTATCCCTATTTTGAAATAGAAAAAGATGGATGATAGAGGTACAAAAGAAGAAAAGAAAGAGACACGAAAAAAATCTTAAGTTGGGAAAAAATGTAGTGCATAGTCACAAAAATGTGATGATTAATAAAGAGGGTGATAAGGAGTGAGAGTGTCAAAATCATATGAATAGGCAATATAGCCAGAAGAAATGATTAGCCATGAGATTTTGTGAGGATACGCTAACCTATTGTGTCTCCGTCTCCCATCCCCCACCCCCCTCTCTATACAAATATATCTTCATTACATAGTGCTATACTATAGCTAGATGCTCTCTTTGTCCAATAAATTTAATTTATATGGAATTTTTTGTCCCCATATCAAAGGTGTTTGGCTTTTTAATTGATATTTGGCTAAATAGATAAACAATTTTAAAAATATCGTGACTAGCTTTTTGATAAAAATTTTAAGTACATCCGCCTGAACCTTGTTTGGTACAGATAAAAAACACAAAAAAGAACATATAGCTATTTTGTAAATAACATACAACTGTTTTGTAAAGAACATCCACTTTTATGTAATTTTTTTTTTAATATCTAAAGAACATTTGTAATATTAATAAAGAACATAATAATATTATGTAATGTACATTATCTATATATATCGATCCACCATAATTTAAAGTCAAAATTCAAA